AGTTCCTCAGAGCAATATTTTTCCTTCATTGAATTTTACTTATATCAGGGGTGCTGAGGTAAATGAAAAGCAACTTAATTAGGTCGGGCCAGACTTCCCAGCACAGCGCAAAGGACAGAATTTTGAAGAGGGCGCAACTCTGTTTCTTGACATGTAAAACCAGCAAACTTGACAGGCTAAGACCTGCATGCAGCATCATCTGCTTTAGACCCTGCTTTTCCCACTCATTTTACTGACCTCCCTTTTAAATTCTCTTTCCTCCCCCATTCTCATTTCCTCTGGCTGCAAAAATCTCCTATGGAGAGGAGATTTCTTCATAGAGCTTGGAAAGCAGGCAGCAAAATCCCAGTGCTGAGAATACATTTGATCCAGTTTGTTCCTAAGCATCAAAAAATCCAGCACTGCCTTCATTCCCTGCCCGAGGACTTGTAGTTCAACTTATTGCCTCTGCCTTGGTGGGGTGGATCAGTCTATGCACAGCGACAGTCGTTCCTCACCACTTACCCACTAACAAGCCGCATGCAGAAGTTAGCCAGGTGTAATTTGCAGCATGCAGGATCCTATCCATCAGCGGTTTCTTTGGCCAACTGCACGTAGCCTAAGCAGAGCGTGCAGCAAGACCGCCGACGTCTTACCGTTTCATGAAAGGTCTTCACTACAGCCTTCCCGTTGTTCATATCCGATTCTGCCATGAGCGCTTGTTGAAATGCTTGATCGTAGAACTGCTTCACATCTTTGGCTATCTAGGAAAGACAGGGGAAAAAATCCCTTTCAGCCAGAGGAGAAGGAGGAAACCCACTCAGCAGATGTGCCTGAAGGGGACAGGTTCCCTCTAATGGCACTCACAGGTAGATAAGCAGTTTTTAAATAGATTTGGACCCTGTTTATTTGCACAGGTGCGTGAAAAAAGCCCTGTCTTTCATAGGGCTCAAGTCCCTCCAGCCGTAGTGTGTTAAGAGCAGCAAATATTAAGAACCTCATCCACCAGCCAGCAGGTTCCAGCCAACGTTATCCAAGTGCTCCATGAGCTCTCTCTAGCAGGCAAAGGCAGCCAAGGCCTGGAGGGCTAACCACAAGATCTGGGATAGCCTTCAGCCCGCATGGATTTGCTGTGAAGGCTCAGGAATGCAGAAATGGCTTGTTCTGAACCACCCGACACATGGAGACAAAGAAGCAGGCAACATGTTTCCCACCGAGGCTGCAGAGGCAGGACACGCTGGGGAAGTCAGGAGGAGGTGGGGTGCGCAAGCAAGGCCATCTGTAGGTATGGGCACCTCAGCTGACTCTCTGGTTCCGAGGGGATGGCAGGAATTTGGGCGAGACTGCACACTAAAGCCTAGTGAGGCAGTTCATTTGGGTCAGGAAGCTTAGGTGCTTTTAGATGGATGTCAAACTTTGGCTGGGTCCCTACCTGGAGCCGAGCACCCCCATCCTGTAAATGGTTATATGAAAAGTCTCATCCGTACTCTAGCCCTGCCACCTGGGCTGGTAAACTGCAGCTACCCATGGGGGTCTGCTCCACAATGCAGAAAACCCCTCATTTTCAGGGAAACTGGCCTTGTGGCTTCTCCTCTAGCACCCTCCAATAATTTGGGAGACAGATGAAAGGAGGACAGACAAGAGAAGCAAAAGAAAAAAAATACGAGCAAGTATGAAAGGGAAAACGTTTTCCAGAACATCTGCTCTTGGCAGCACAGGCTGGATTAGCACACAAAAAAAGAAACTGAAGCAAGAAGGAGCGTGATTTCAATTAATTATCCCAGCATTTCTCCGTCACTGCTCAAAAAAGTTTGCTTTGGAGGGCGATGTTCTCCGGTCAAACCATTTGATTCTGGTACATGGAAAAAAATAAGATAATAATCCTACTTCTTGCCTCCCATCCTGTATCTAAAGCATCTCCAAGAAGGCAGGCTGAGGGATAGACTGCCTCCAGCTTCGTGGAAGAGCATCCTGTGCCCGTGTGATAGGAGATGACTGTCCCCTCAAGGGGCTGAAAACCCAGGTGGAATGGAGTCCCCACTGGGAGCAGCTCTCGGTGGCTGGGATCATTCAGCACTTCCCTCCCAGCCCACATTGCTCCTGAGATGTCCCCAACCGAGGCGGGGAGAAGCAAGCCACCTGCCTTGTGAGTGGGGACTTCCAAACAGCCCATTCATTATCAAGGCTGCAACAGCAGCCGAGGCCAACAGACTGCCACCGTTCACTTTAAACTGCAAAATTAATTTTAGGGGCTGAGGTCATCGCTCTTCTATTGGCAAATCCTAAATTTCTCAGCTTTACGCTCTGACGGCCAAGCATCTTCTCCCCAGCATGGAAAGCAACAGCCATGGGGTCCCTTCTTACTCAGGCTTCACTTTTCTTGCTGTCAGTTCAGTCGTGCGTCTTGGACTCTTCAGGATTCACAAACTAACATTTGCAGGAGGCACAGCCCCTCTGCAAAGGTTAATTAGCTTGCCAAAGTTGCTAGGAAACGGCACCCTGCCTGCATAATAATATGTTTAGCCACGGAAGAGTTTATTCCGGTGAAGTCATGCTCTCTCCAGTGAATGACTACAAGGGTGTTCCCATTCACAGCCGAGCTGGTCATCTGTGGCCTACATGCATGTGAAAGCTGAGCAAGCCACCACCTACTTACACAGCTGGCTTACGTCTCTTAGTAAAGTAAACACATTTCCTAGTCTGCCAGAGAGTCTAACCTTGGCTTTGAGCACAAGCAGTCCCCCTTCTCTTCTCCAAGCCCTCGACAGCTGAGTGATCAACACCCAGCCCACTGCTTGCTGCAGCATGGCCATGTTTCCCATACACTGATAGTATTGCTCTTCAAGACCAAACTCTGCATGTGTGCAAGCACATGTGACCGTAGTGAAGGGAAGGTGAGCAGAAAGGGAAGGTGAAAAGCTGCAATTTTCAGTCCTATCCATTAGCTAACCCCCTCCAGCCAGAGGACTTCATCCAAGCAGTCCCTAGCAGGGTGCCTGGGACAGACACATGACTTCTACCCCTCACGCGTGCACAGCGTATTCATCAGCAGCAAGCTCAGTCCTGGCAGACGAACAGCCCAAAGTGGGTTATATGATACTGGCAAAGAGCAGGAAGCATCAAGCGATCCCATTAATGCAGACGCAGGCTCTCCCCATATGGTATTCCTTCCCTTCGGGGTCACGCGGCTGGGTTCACTCTTTGGCACCTAGGACATGCAGATGGCATTCCTTCATGACTTCATACATGAATCAACTCACACTGTGACTGACAGTGTGGCAGCAAGGAGGAGACCCAAGCGAGACGGGGCTATTTTTATTCCAGACATTGCACTATATACCGTAAGGGGTAGCTGCTACCATCAAGTGCTCACATTTAAAGTTCATCAGCCCGGCCAAGAGGAGTTAGGTGACCTGCCCGGGTCACACAGCTAATCCAAGCCCCCATGACTCAGTCCAGGAGCAGCTTGTGAGCAAAACAGCTCATGCCAGGATCTGCTGTGGTTCTGCCCCGGCCTCCCAGTCCCACAAACGCGGGTTTCAGAGTCGTCTTACTTGGTCTTTGTTGACAAATCCCCAAATTCCAGCCGCAACTTCGCAGGCAAACAGGATCACCAGGCAAGTGAAGAACTGCAGACAAATCAAGACAGGGACACTTAACATATTTGGCTACAGGCAAAAGCAGCAATTAGGTGGGTAGAAGTGTGGAACAGCAGTTCTGCTGACGGAGATCAGAGCAAGGTGTCGCCCGACTTCAAACCATTTTATCTCTCATACACACACTTAGCCCAAACACATTTTCCTATAACACATCAGATGCCACCCCACGTCCAGACGTCCCACTGGGATGGCTGAGCGGGTATTAACAGGGCCCTTCCCACACAGGGACTGGCAGGGATGAGGATGCCCTGCGCACCACAAGACACATTGCTCCTCTTCATGCACCTGCAGGACCATCCAGACAAGCTTCTTGCTCTGCCACAGATGCTCTGAGGATGGGAATTGCCAGTGCAGGGTTAAAAGCACATTTCAGCTGCTGAGGAGCTGCGGGGCGTCAGGGTGTGATTTATGGCCAGCTCTCTTGGCATCCACAGCCCTGCAAGGCTTCTGCAGTTTTTTGCATAAATACTAACACTGATGATCTCCCACAGTCCTACCCTGTTCGTGCAATTTCAGCACCCCTCCTTGCCATCCCCCCAAAGCCTCTCTCCATCCTTTTGTTCAGATCCCGGGAACACGTTGTGACAGTCAGTCTGTTAGACCGGGAATGGGAAGCTGTAAAGCTCATACATCAGAGTCAAGTGGGAAGGCACAGACAGGCATGCTCCACACGGAGCCAACATTACCTCTGTAACAACATCACCCTCAATGACTTCTTCCTGAGAAAATCCCCAATTGGGAGAATTGCCATGGAAGTAAAGAAGCAAAAGAGGTGAATGCAGTCAGGGGAAGACACAAAATCACAGTATGAGGCGGGACAACAGACCCTGGATTCCAGGCAGTCTCTGTTCCAGACACATTCAGGACATTTTCTTCAACAACAGAGGAAACGGGAGTTTCCAGAATGATGCTATGACCTGGCTCTCACGTGCAAGAGCAAAGGGTTATCAGCAAAATGGAAACAGGACTATTCACCTGACAGCAGGAAAGGACTTCCAACATCCTTGTCCAGTCCCAGAACAACGAACTGCTATTTAAACACCTATCTATCCCTGGTTTTCCAGGAACATCTTTAGGGGACTGGGTCCCACATCCTCCCCAAGGAATCACATCACCCTAAATCGTGGGTGCAAGGCCACTGTAATTCTCTGGTTAAGGACTAGGGTTCACTCTTGCAGTGGTTACCCTCCAGTGAAGGATGGCTCATTTATCCCAGATTTGGAGGTACAACTTCCTGCAGACGCAGTTCTGCGGGCGGGCTGCAAAACATCAGAGATGCAGCTTGACGCTATGGAAGCATGGCGGTGTTCCTGGCCTGGTGTTTGGACATGCCCCTGCCCCTTACCAGGGAGCAGCCCCACTCCATGCCGAGCGGCTCCCTCCTGCCTTCCTTGGGTCTCACCACTTGGCCTCCATGCTGCCTTTGGCACAGGATTTTGATAGCGTGGAGGTTCCTGGTACTTTCCCGTTTTGCAATAAGCCTACAGTCACTCAATCAGCTGGCTGCAGGAGAGTGGAGAGCGGCTGCTTCCCTGCAACACCCTAAGGACACTGCCTGGAAATGTCCTTGGCGCACAGTGGGAGCTTTGGCCAGCAGAAAGCATCATTGCGAGGCGTCTCCAGCCTTCTCTTGGCAAGCCAAGGTGTGAGCAAACATGGGCAGCGCACAGCAGCTAGAGCTGCTAATTTCAGCCAAAGCAGCCGGTTTCCCTGTCAGGCCTCAGGTACGTTGTACCATCTGCCCTTCTAATCCTCTTTCCAACTTCAAAAGGGAGTGAGGGGTAATTCAGGTTCTGTAATTGCTTACATTAACAAAAAAAGATAATCCAAAGCTGCCAGACCTCCCTACAACAACCCCTGTTGGATTTGTGCGCTGGCTCCTCCTATTCTCAGCAGCAGTGATAATGCCTGCAAACTCCTACAGCAGCTCTCATCCACCGACATTCAGAAGTGCTTTATAAAAGCCGGTGAGAAGCACCCCCTTCTTACTGGGAAACAGAAGCAACCAGAGGTGAAGCCATCTGCAAGAGCAAGGGAAAGCAGCTCCATTTCCCTCTGTCCCAGTTGAATCCACACCCATGGGTCACTACACCACCACGAAGAATCTTCCAGCCCAATGAAACCAAGTGCCAGAAAGTCCTTCCAATTTTCTTTTTTTTATGCTTTACTCCTCCAATTTTTTTTTTTTTTTTTTGCATTGACTTTAAAGCTGAACCACATGTGAGAACTTGCTTTAAATAAATGGGTCTCCCTTACTCCCAAGACAAAGGCTTTTGGTGTGGCTACAGTTTATACAATTAAGCTCATCCCGTGCCAGGAATCCCGAGCTGCTGCCTCACATCAAGGACGCCTGTAGCACTTGTAATGGATTTTCCAGGATGCACCTAGACGTCCTCACTAAGATATTATGGGAAATCTTTGCCGTTTCCTTGTCCAAACAGATAAAAATAGTAGGCGATTCCTTAAAAGAACCAGAATCACCACAGGCAGCCTTGAAACGGAGTGAAGGGGGAAGCTGTAGGGGACATCAGGTAAGAAAGAGAATTTAGTGGGTGCTTGGTAAGACAGCCAGACCATGGCGGGGAAAAAAGCATGGGGGGGTGCTTCACATAGAGAAAATGAATCTCCAAGAAGCCTGCTGTTCGCACTTCTTCTGCTATGCTGCTGGCTTCAGCCTCTGTCCTGCAGCCAGGCACAAGCAGGAGCTTGCGGCATGCCTGCCAGCTCAGCTGGAGATCCAGCACGCCCGACAGGGATGCCCTTGGCCAAACAGCGCTGCCTTGTTCCTTGCAGAGGTCGGCTAGTTCCCACCTATGTGCTCACGCATCCTCCCAGCCCCGTTTGCTGCAAAAGTTGCCAGCAAGGGAGGCATGGCTGTGTGCCGCCCAGCAGGGCCGTGGCAGGGCCACCACGGTGCCAAGTGGCATCCAAAACTTTACACCTCTTACCGTTCCCAGAAGGCACTGAGACTCCTGAATAGCACCGTAGCATCCCAGGAACCCCACAAACATCATGACGGCTCCAACCGCAATCAGGATGTAGATTCCTGCAAGGAAGAGCAAGAGGCAAACGCATTACTGCAGAGCTTTGTATGGCAGCACCCTAGCGCCTGGCCAGACATGCTGGCTCCCCGGGGCCACTAACTAGGGGTGTGCAGAATTAAGACCTAGGAGATATGAGTAGGGGTGGCGGCAGACACAGTAGAACAATACAACATACACGAGTCAGATCTCAAAGTGTTTGAAGCTGCTAACACCAAAACTTAAAAACCCCATCACCCCCAAAATCAGACAAAACACAGAGAGCTCGAGCAGTAATAGGCAGAAGATGTAGCAGGCAAGACAAAGGCTTTACAGCATCCTCAGAGCTGCAGTATGGGAGTTCCCATGGCATACATACTGTTTTAAATAATTAAGCAGAGAAGATCAATGTTATTAGTTAGCATATCTTTAAAAATAAAGAGTAAGACATATGGTTTATTTCTATTAAACATCATACAGATATTTATCCAGCTAACATTTTAAAGACAGATGAGCCACAAAACTAAGGGAAAAGCGCTGATTAAGCATCTAATTTAATATAATCTGGCTTTTGTTTGTTATAGATTCTTCTACAGAGAGGAAGACATTTTTTACTTCAACTTACTAAATTTGCACAGTCAGCTTACTCCATAACTAGTTCAAAGCTTGGACAATAGGCATTGGGGGTTTATTCATCCAGGAAACAAGAGCTTAGCTCAAGGCTCAGGTCTGCTGCCACTAGTAATCACCATAGTCTCACCAACCATGAGACTGGTGAGACCGTGGTGACTACTCACCCAAATGCTACCAGCTCAGTTAAATTTGTTTCCTTTTCCAAAACCCCAGCTTTCTCCTGATGTATCCTGTATATTTAGTGCATTTTTGGTTAACTAATATTCTCAAGTATTGTGGTTCTACTACTTGGTAAGTGAATCCTACTTTCGATCCAAAAGCAATTTGACACATGCAAAAAAATAATCAAAGAAATAATTACAAATGAGGCAAGACTGCAGTCACCATTTTTAACTGACAGTGAGGAAAAAAAACATCAGGATGAGAATAAACGTACAAGGGGCATCCCAGAGGTAACAGCAATACAGTGCATCTTGCTAGTGCCTGGGGGACACATCCCTTCAATTAAACATCATCTTTTGCTATGAGTCAAAATGTTTTTATAGTTATTAATCAGTCTGTCAACTCCCCTTTAGGAACAGCACTAAAGTATAAACAGAGCTCAAGATTAAAACTGCTTGTACACGCCCATCGTGTTTAAGGTTTTCTTATCTTTGTAGCTTTTAAACAATCTTCTGATAATTAAAGTGCAAAGTCTAAAGGGCATGCGCTGAAAGCAGAGTTAAGCCAAGTTAAACCTTTCTCTAAAAAAACAGATATGTAATAACGGTCTCGACTTGTTTAAAATCCCCTTACGGACATGTCAAACTTGGGAAAGGGTCAACTTTGGGTCCTGCTTCTTCCCTCTTTAAAACAGGAGTCACCAGCAGCCAAACAACATAAGCGCCAACGCAAGGGCCAGCTTGGTGAGAGGCGGCGACGGAAACACCACCCCAGCAGCCCTGGCGCTGGGACCCTCCGGACGGTGTTTCTCACCGGCACCGTGCTCACACAATGCCTCCCGCTATATTTAGGCGCTGCAGGAGGGAGGAAGCCAGCTGCAGGGGAAGCGCCGGCACAATGGAGCATGCTGACCCCACAGGAAGCCCCTCTTCACAAAACCTGACGGGCCCTGCGGCCAGTGACACCAACATCCTCATGGCAACGCTGCCAGCAGAAGGAGGAAAAAAGCATGAGTTGCACCTCCTGATGCAGATTGAAGGGGCTTCAGCAGCACCCCGTAGCCACAAAAACCCAACAGGCAATTGGGTTGCTGAAGCTCCCTAAGAGGGGATGGGACACCTCCTTGCTTGAAGGTGCGAAGAGAGGGGAAAAACACAGCAAAAGAAACCCCCTGCTAGAGTTTCTTGGAAAGGAAAGGCCAGCAGTTAAAGTTTTGCGGGCCTGCCTGAAGCAGAATTAGGTGATTTTATCCCAACGGTTGGAGATACCGTGGCGTGGAGGGACCGGCGGTGGCAGCCGGGCAGAGAGCCAGCGTGGCGAGCAGCGGGCTGGGGTGTGTGTGGGGAAGCGGGGCCCCAAAGGGGATAGAGGTGATGGGAAGGCATGAATGCATCCTGCAAAATGAAGGCTGTCTGCTGGACGCCTGCCAAGCTCCAGAGAGACTGATGGAGATTTTCAGGCTACATAACTGCTGTTTCAAAAAGAACAATGTATCAATAGCAGTCTCTCAAATAAAGGTCTGCTTATTGTCACCAGAATCTGCAAATGCCCAAGAACCAGCCCTCACCGCTCCAGCTTGTACCAACGAAGCTGCTGGTTTAGGTTTTCAACCCAAACTGCATCAGGTTTTTCCATCTTACAGTCTTGGGTGGCTCCACTGGAGAGTCTTCATCACAAGTCCCTCTGAGAAAATCAACTTTGCTCATACCTGAGTGCAGCAGCTTCTGACCTCTCCTCACATTAGGTCAGCAGAGAGAAGACAAAGCTGGGCTGGGGGCAAGTCATTTCAACGTCTGAGAAGTCACCATTCATGCTAACCACCCCAGTAGATGGGTAACAGGCAGATGCAGCACACGTGGAGACCAAGCAGCATGGTGCTGCAGGGACCCCAACGACCAGGTCACTCCCACAGATGGACAGAAGATTTTATTCTCAAATTCTTTAAAATAAACACTGAAGGAAACTTCAGGCTGAACAAATATAGCCAGGAGATCACAGAATCATAGAGCAGCCCAGGTTGGAAGGCACCTCAAAAGATCATCTGGTTTAACCTTTTGTGAGAAAGGGAGCCCAGATGAGACTATCTAGCACCCTGTCCAATTATATCTTGAAAGCCTCCAGTGATGGGGAGTCTACCATAGCCCTGGGGAGCTTGTTCCAGTGAATAATTGTTCTCACTGTAAAAAAGGTCTTTCTTATATTGAGATCATCAGGAAAACATAGGAGCCACTGGTGGCTAGGAAAGTTTTGCTCTGAAAACTAGGAGATAACAAGCCCAGTGAGAACCTCAACTGATGGAGGAGACTAAGAGGAAACAGAGACATTTGCCATTTTATAGAAGTCTTCCAGAGGCCTCTGTACTTGCTTCTTGCTGGGATTTGTGCAGCTTCAAAAAACCAAAAAACCCGACC